CGTGATCCTGTGGAAGAACCCAATTCCAACCTACAGATTAGACGAGTTCACAAGAAAGATGCATTCATTCAACAAATGTGCATTGAGCAGCTATCATATTCCAGGCGCCTTGCTGGGAACTGTGGATACAATGCTGATGTGGATGGTGGTGGTGATGGCAACATAATGACCAGCATTTATTGAGTACTCTCTATATGCCAAGCACCAGGCTATGCACCTTATGCAATCTTCAGAGTAGCCCTCAGAGGTAGGGTTTATAATGATTTTTCTCTGTACATTAAGAACTTGGAGGCCCAGAAAAGTTAAGTGATGCACCCAAGGCCACACAGTAGATAGTGGCAAAGATGGGACTGGAACCTAGAACCGTGCTTTTTATCACAGTGGTTCCAAGACGGAGAGATGTGACTGCAATTACAAGTCATCGGCAGGTAGCGACTCCCAGAAGCAGAAAGTGCAACTCGAGGGAGGCAGGCAAGGTAGCAGATCCAAGGTTTAGAGAGAGCATTTCTGGGCTCTGTGAAGCCTCCATAATTGTTCTGGGTAATTGTCCCAGGCTGACAGGCTGCAGGACCCCGGCCCAGCCAGCTCCTCAACTTAGGCATCTGTCTCCCAGCTGCACCTACACACGCACACAAAGCCCTTCCCGTGACCACGCAGCCCATGGCTGCAGCAATGTGAGCCCCAACCTCAGCTACCTGCCTCCGAAGACTCAGTTGCAGCCTCTTTTCCAGCCCTCGGGAAACAGAAGTGGGTTTTCTCAGTGGGTCTGTGAAGGGGCATCTCTCACATCTTCTCCTTGCCATCAAGCAAAGGCATTCTGGCAGGGAGCTCGTTCTGGACAACACCCTCTGGGGATGACGGAAAGTAGAGTCCAGCATGCTTCCCAGAGCCCCAGGGAAGAGGGGCCTGGAGACCAGGGTGTGTGCTGCTGACAAGGAGGGAGCAGGTGGGGTCACACAAACAGAGGAAGCCTGTGAGGAGAAGAATGGAGAGCACATGGCCCCCAGAGCCGCCAGCTGAGAGGGGCGCTGACTGTGGGGACAAGACCAGGAAGTTGCTCCTTAGAGTCTAAGACATCAAGGGCTGCACACAGAAGAGGTGGGGGCAGAGCCAGTCCTGCTACGTGGGGCTCCTATCACTATTTCCTGGCAGGACAAACGCCTCTGGGGGAGCAGGAAACAGCCCTGTAGAGGTGTGACTAAGAGGAGGAGGAAGTGCGCTTTGTCAACCGAAGAATTCTCTCCAGGTGTTCGTTTCCCTCATTCTTCCTGTGTTCAGCCGGTGAGACAGGTGCAGCGAAGAAACAGCAGAGCTGACGTGCAGGCCTGGAGTCAGAAAGAACAGTGGATATGGGGTGGGGGAGGGTGGCTGTGGATTCTTGGAACAAAGCGCAGCTCAAACACCCCCACTCCCCACCCTGAATGCTGTCAGAAACAGCGTGGGAGCCATTAGCTGCCTCAGGCCTCATTTAGATCCCTCCCAGGCCTTGCCCAGCCCCCAGGGAAGGCCTGGCATGAGCAAGTTATTGTATCAGGTGGGGAGCACCTGTTTTATTCATTTTTTTCCATTCAACTAGTGTTTATTGGATACCTATTGTGTGCCAGGTCCTGTAATAAAAAGTGTGATTATAACTGTGCTAAGCGCCATAAAAGAGATGTGCACAGTGCCAGAAAGGGCCTATGATAGGGATAGATTAGATACATAATCAGTGATACAAGGGCCTATCATCAGGAGAGCAGAACTGGCAAAACTGAGGAAGAGTTGATAATGAAGCTGAGCTCCAAAGGATGAGTAGACATGAATCAGATAAACAGGAATAGGGGCAGCCCAGGCGTAAGGAAGAGTCTGCAAAGAGACAGAGTAGCTTGCGAATTGGCTAGGTTTCAATGCGTAACAAGTTAGTCCAAAACCTAGGGGCTGAAAACAACGATCACTTCTTTTAACCCACAATTTCGTGGGCCATCCACTTGGCTGGGTTCAGCTAGGGAGTTCCAATGATCTAGGTAACATTGTGGCTGACCTTGGCAGAGGCTGTCTTGTGCATCTGTGTCTGCTGGCTAACCTCTGGCGGGGCGGGGCTCTTTGGTTCTCCCCCTCACAATCTGTCGTCCTTCAGCAAACCACCCCGGCTTCCTTCCCACGGCAGTTAAAGGCTTCCACAAAGCAGCCAAGAAGGGCAACCGCCAGAGCTCAGGTACCTTTCAGTGTCTGCTTCCATCCCACTTGCTGTCATCCCTTGTCCCAGAGCGGGGCCCATGGCTAAGCGCAGAGTCAAACGTGAACAAACTGGGGACTGTAACTGCAATCATCTACCTCAGTGTGCTCAAGGAATTGAAAGAAAGCAGGGCCCTGGCCGGGTAGCTCACTTGGTTAGAGCGTCATCCCCTTATTGTCAAGATTGTGGGTTTGATCCCTGGTCAGGGCACATACATGCAGGAGTCAACCAGTGAATGCATAAATAAGTGGAACAACAAATCGAAGTCTCTCTCTCTCTATCTAAAATATATGTGGGGGGGGGGGCGTGAGCAGGTATGTATATATATAAAATAAATAAAATCAGTAAATAAAAAACATTTTTAAGTTATATTTTTTTAAAAAGTGGGAAAACTGAAGAGTGGCGAGTGAAGGGGAATGAGGTGCAGGTGAAACTGGAGGTGGGTGGAGCCAGGACATGCGGCCTCTGAGAACACACTAGGAGTTTTTGGTCTTTACCCTGAAAGCAGGCATGCCCTCTGGTTTCTGACCCCCTGTCTTGTGGGTTTGGTCAGCGTAAATAATCCCTTGGGGACTGAACTGGCTGAACTAGTAAAATGGATTTTCTAAGCTTCAGACTTCAGCGTAGAAGCCAGCATGGTCTACCCCACACGCCCTTGCCAATAGCCCACACAGATGTGAATGCCCGGTACCTTCCCACCTCTGTGCCGTGGCACCAGCCTGTCCCTCGGCTGAGAACAATCTTCTCATGCCCTACGTGCGGCCAGTTCTCACCTCCCCAGACTCGACTCAGGCACACCACCTCAGAGAAACCCTCCCTGACTTCTTCAAGCCCTGAGACCAGTGATAGGTCAAATGACACCAAGAGGCCTAGGAAACAAGCCTGTGGCTCATGGTGGCCTTGTGGTTTGTAAAACCAAGTCGGTTCGAGTCCCAGCCCTGCCCTTGCAAGCACATACCAGTGGGTACAGTGCGCTGCCCGTGCTGTAGCCATCGTTTTACGTTCACCCCCCACTACACTATGTTTCTTGAAGGAGTGCCCATAAACCCAGGGCCTGCACTTGGAAGAGTCAGAAATACTCGAATGAGTGAGTGAACAAATGAATGAATGAATGAATGAATGAATCCATCACTAAACGGGACTTTCCTCTGGAAGCCCCAGTCAGCGTTATTAAAGTCTTCTGTCCTGGCGGATGAGCGGAAGGTGTCTTTCCAATGAGGCCAGGAGCTCCAGGGTCTCCCAGGTTCCACATAAAGCCACCCACCCAGAGGAGAGAAGCCCCCAGGCTCTGGAACGATCCAAGGCAGGGCAGTGGGAGAGCAAAGAGAAGGGAGCTCCTTGGGAGACAAGTGTCACAACGTCACTCACTGTAACGGAGTGAGAGAACCAACCTGCAGTGGCCTCCACCAGAGCAGGTCTACCCTGGGTGCTAGAACAGCTGACCAGGGGCACTGCTGGAGGCAGGTATGCCAGGAAGTGACATTACTGTAATTTCACTGGCTCACTGTGTTGACTGGCTCACCACAAGCTGGAGAAGCAGCCCCTGTAAACAGGGGCTGAAAAGTGGGCACCAGGCCTCCAGGCCCTGCCCACCAGCCTTAACAGAGATATTTCCACACAGGCTTCCTGGTCTTGCAATGTGAGGGTTTAAATCATACTGTCTCCCATTTACAGAAAAGAAACCTGAAGCCCAGGGAGATCAGCCTTTTAACCATTGGCCACTTTAATAGTCATGGCTGCCCAGATAAACGACTACATTTCCCAGCTTTCCTTGTACCTAAATGTGTCTTGACCAGGTTCCAGCCAGTGAGACATGTTTGGAAGTCATGTCTCTAACTTTGGGGTTTTGTTCACCAAGGACGGGGATGTGTGCCTCATTTTTCTCCTTACCACCGCCTGGTGAGCCATCTTGGACTATTATAGCCAAGGGCAACGCCTTAGAACGATGGAGCAGCAACAACACGGAAAGAACCAGGGTCCCTGACACCCGGGCACACGACCTGGGTGCACAGTTTGGCACGCACTGCCGAGTGAGAATGAAAGAAACTAGCCTACCTCAATTAAGATACTATTATTGAAGGTGTTTGCTATTGCGGCTGCATCTGTACCCTCCTGACTCATAATACAGCCAGGACCAGGTTTCCTCAGGAAGCCCTGGACCACTGGGGCTGCTGAATCCCAGGCACCCTTATTGTATGAGGACAACAGAGCTGTGACCTCCACCGCAGGAACCAGCTGTTTTCTTGGAACAAGACTTGGGAAATCTGCTTGGAGGAAGCTGCTAGATTGCCAAGGACGGGAAGGAAACTGAGCACAGTTGATTCTCCACCAGTGTGGACACCGGTGCCCCTGCACTGCTGTGAAAATACTGAAACACTCCCAGGCCACTGCCCCATCCCACCCTAACCCACCCCTCAGATGCCCCCCAGCACACCCCCCCAGCTATCTTTGCCCCAGATCCAGCAATTAAAGGAGTAAGGCCTGGCACAGGAGGGTCCCCAGGACTTCCTTCTGACCTCTGGACATTCATTCAGCAAGCCATACCACTTCCTAAATGTTCTGAGTATCAGCCCCAGCTATGAGGTGCCTGATCTCAACCGTCTGAAGGGAAGCGGAACCCTGAACGCAGTGTGGAGGGAGGTGAGGAGGTCATGAGTTCTGAAAGCCCGAGACTGGTTACTGCACCCTCCCTCCACCTCCTTTTCTCCTCCCCAAAGCCAGAAACCCCCAGGCCCCACTGAGGCCCGCCCTCACCCCTGCAGAATATGCCACAGCCACGCCCAGATATTATTGCACTCTTTTATTTACATAAAACACAGATAAAGCATTTCAATGTTCATTTAGCAAACTGATCCACTCTTTTTTTTTCTTTTTGGCACAAAGAAAATATCACAGATGGACCCCAAGATCAATCAGAAACCCATAAGATTTATCAGTCATTACTGGTCCAGGGGCAGCCACAAGACTCAGACAGACAGACAGCATCGCCACAGTCTGGAAAAAATAAACAAGGTGCACATTCACCTCACAGTAAAAACCTGCTCACCGGCAGGCAATGGGGGGCCGGGAGGGGACAGTTTCTATGCTCCCAAGGGGGCAGTGGGCATGGGGGGCAAGAAGCAGGGTGAGGAGGTTTAGACACCATTCATAAATTAGAGGGAGGTGGCCTCTTTTTTAACCTCTTACCTTGTAGAAGTTAGACAGGGCCAAAACTACCGTTCCCTGACCACTCGCCCATTCAGAGCGCTCCGGAAGTTGTGTGGTTCGGGGCGTCTCCCCTTGTGCGCGCCCGTGTGTGTGCACGTAGGTGAATGTGTGAGTGCGGTGCTTGTAAACATGGTCACCATCCACACAGACACCCAACGTCCGTGTGTCGGAATGGGGTGCGGTGGGGGCTGCACCCCGCTCACTCCCCTTCTGCCCCGGCGACTCCTGTCCAGGACATAGTGCAAATTTCAGAGACCAAAGAGGCAGAAGGAAGTGTGGGGCAGGCAGAAGGACACAAAGACAGTGTGGGAGAGGGAGGGGGAGATAAGGCAACAGTTAAAAACGGTCCATTTTATCAAAACCGACACCAGGTGCCCCTCGCCCCCACCCACGGAGCCCTTGTCACAAGAAAGGGCGGAAGTCCCGCTCCTCCACCAGACTGACGGAGGGGTTCTTGAGCTCCTCCTCCGAGGTGGCCATCCTGTAGCCCAGCTGCGCCAGCACCCTCTGGCAGGCGTTCTGGGCGAAGGCCACAATGTCGTAGGAGAGGCGGAAGCGCCACTTCTCGGCCGTGGCCGCCGAGTTGCGCACGGTGCCGTACTTGTGCTTGCCCAAGGCGGGGTCGCCCTGCGTGTTGTTCTGGATCCAGCGGGCCACGTGGCTGTCCAAGGGGATGCCCAGGAACCCGTAGATCTCCTCGGTCTTCTTCATGGGGTTCCTGGCCAGGTCCTCGTAGCGCACCAGCATGTACTTGCCTTTGAGCCACGGGGGCCGCATGAGGCCGGTGGACACGGAGTTGGAGAAGTCCTCGCACACCGTGGTCAGCTGCGTCACATCCAGGTTGTAGGGTTTCCTCCCGGTGCCGTACCAGAGCCGCCAGAGCCGGTACGTGTCGCGGAAGGTCTCGCTGCGGGAAGCCAGAATGCCACGGGGGTCTCGCACCAGCTGGATGACCTTGAGGTTTAAGCGGGGGTCTTCAACCAGGGCCCGCAGGTCGTTAACCTCAGGCACCCTCACTGTCTTGATGGCCACGTGGCTGCGCTCACGACAGGCCTCGGCGGCCACCGTCAAGTTCAGCAGGCCGCACTTGCGCACGCAGTCCCCTTCCTCCAGCACCAGGTCGGCGGAGCCTGGGGGGTCGCACACGGGCCGCGAGCACAGCACCCGGCTGGCCCCGCGGCGGAAGATCCTGTCGGTGGTGTGGTTGACGGGCGGCGGCTTGATGTAGTTCTCCAGGAAGTGGAGGTCACAGTCATAGAGGCTCCTCAGGAGGTCACGGCTGGCGCCCAGCATGACCCGCCGATCCGCGGGGCTCTTGCCCTGGGTGAAGCGGGGGATGAGCGTGTTCTGGACGTGGTAGAGGGGCTCGAACAGGTAGAAGACGTCCAGGTGCTGGTTGAAGAGCTGGCCCACGAAGGAGGAGCCGCTGCGCGTGGTGGCCAGGATGAGGATGTGGGTCTTGCGGGAGAGGTTGTAGGTGAAGGTGGGGCCTTCCTCACACAGCCGCTCGGCCAGCCCCGCATCAGCCAGCCCCGGGCAGGTGTGGAAGGACTTGGCGGTGAAGGTGCGGATGGCCGTGTACTGGATGGCGATGGAGGCCAGGGCGAGGAGGAGGACAGCCTTCCAGGAACATTGCATGGCTGGGCACCTTCATGGGGCTGCTTCTCCACCTTCCAAGGTCTGCAGGCAAGAGCGGGCAGAGGTCAGGGGCAGCGGGGCTTGGGTGCCTCACCTGAAAGAAGAGGTGGTCTCCGGGGTGGGAGTGGGGGTCCAGGGAGGCATCCCTGGCTCCCTGCCCAGTGCTCACTGCTGTACCAAAGGCCTGAACAGCTTCTACACTAGACTTCACCAGTCTCTGGGGGAGCCACTGCGGACTGAACCAACCGATTCCCTGTGCCCCGTACTGCGGGGTTGAACCTACAGAACGCTGCAGGGGCCTCCCTGCAGGAACTCCGGGTTCCTCAGTGGGGGACTACTGGGCAGGAAACTAACTCCTCCAACCCCAGGAGGAGGGGATGACCAGGTCCCGCCCCCAGCCACTGCCCCACCACTGCCTGTCGCCCATTGCTGGCATCTCCTGGGCCGACCTGCATCTTCGTCCACCCTCATGAACTGATCCACGTGGTCATCTTTTCTCCACCCCGTCACTCCCCACCAGGAGGAAGAAGAGTCCACGTCAGAAGCCCCGGACTGAAAGGGCCCTGGCACTCTGTGAGTCATGGGGCTACCAGGTCCGGCTCACCCACGCCCACGGGGCCAGGGGAGGTAGACAGCTGTGTCAAGCACCACATCCCCTGACTTATGGATGCAGGTGACCAGCTTACTCCAGATGAGGACTCCTGGGGTCCCTGGGGTCCCAAAGAGTCACCTGGCCCAGATCACACACAAGTCCGGGGCTGCTGAGAAGGATCCCTTCCCAAGCCCCCGTGTCCTCCCGGGTTTGCTCCAGCCACAGGGTGCAGAGGTCCAGGCCATGGAGCAGATGACCCCCACGACAGCAGAGCGAACTGACCCCTCCACCTCAGCCAGTCCTCAAGGGCCTCCACCCTCAGGCCCTCAGCCTCTTCTGTCCACAGGGTGAGCTTGGGGACCCGCCCTAACCCAGCAACGACCCCAGAGAACCAGGCGGGACAGAGAGAAGAGGAAAGGAGGGAACAGAAGGAGCACCCCAAAGAAAGCATGGGGGATAAGAAAGGCTCCAGGACAGCTGTGAAAGCGAAGGGTGTGCCCAGGGTTCAAGGCAAGGAGCCAACCTGAGCAGCTGGAAGTCCACCAGGAAAGGCTAGGTCAGCTACTAGCATGCAGGGAGGGATCCACTACTCACCAAAGAAGGGCTGCTCCAAGCTGGGGAGTCCACAGCCACCAGGTCTCCTGCACAGCAGCCCTGTGGCCAGCAGGCTTCAGGGAGACAGGGAGGGGAAGGGTTCTGAAAAACAGGTCAGGCTCCAGCACCTCCCTCCCTACCCCTGCTCTCCTGCGTCCTGGGACCTATGGACTGCCCCCCACAGCTGGGTGATAAGGGCCCTGCCTGCTCTCCCATATCTATCACTGACTCGGGGCTCCAAATACCCCAGCACCATCTCTGATCCCTGCATCCAGCCCTCTGAGTCCTGGGCTCCATCGCACCCCCTCCATTAACTTTACCCACCCACCCACACCCTCCTAATGAGCCCTAGCCCCTCTGTTCCCACCAGAAACCAGTGGGCAAGGAGCTGGCAAGCCTGCACCCCCAGATGACCAAGAGTTGCTGCCCCACAGGGACAGACACCCCAGGGAGGTACTCACCCACACACACCCACCACCCAGTGGAACTGAAAAGAAATGCACTGGCCACAAGCACCCCCAGGCCCAGCTAGCTCTGTTCATTCGGCCCTAGCGCCCAGACTGGCCCAACCAGCCACCGCGCTCAGCCTCCAACAACAGAACAGAGCCCCAGAGTCAAACTCATCCCAAAAAGTGGCAGGCGCACAACCCCCGTTGGTTCTGCATTTTAAATCAATAGCACAGCCTGAGCTTCCAAAATTTGACTTGTTCAGTGACTGCCCAGGAGGGGGTTCATGGAAATCAGCAAGGGCAGGGGGCCTCACCTCACACCTCCAGGTGGAAATGCAGCTCAGTCGCAACAGCCAGGATGCTGAGGCCCCCAGGAAGGGGCAGCTGGGGCAGGTGGTTCTCCTTCCAGCCACGCCGGAGAGAGAAAGGCTACCTGAAACTCAAAGCAAGAGTGGACCAGGGAGCATCCCTGACCGTCATGCTCGCCACGGATTCGAAGTTAAAACACCAAGATCACAGCACTATTGTGGTCAGCATCTACTAAGTACAGCCTAAGTGCTAAGTAAACCCTCTACCTCGGAGCTCATGTATTCGCCCCCAAAACTTCAGGTGGAAGCTAGTATAAGCTCCATCCCACGGGCAGGACAGCGGAGGCACAGAGATAAAGCGACCTGATTTAACCCACAGCCAGCAGGTTGTCCAGAGCTCACACTCTCCTCCCTCGAAGATTTGACTTTCTGTTCCTCCAGCTTACGTGTACTTGGCCTTCAAACATGGACGCAATTGATGTCCCCAGCCCATCCGTACACTGGCGTGAGAGGGACTGGGCACCAGATGGGGGCGGACAGGTGATTTCCAGGACTTAGAGCATATTCTTTCCCTTTGCTGTCCGGTCTCATTGTTCAGTTGACTCACGGCCGAGGGACCGAACCCACGTGCTTTTCGAATAGTCTTCCCCCATTGTGCTATGGGTATGACTTTTCTGGGGGTGGGGCAAAGGGGTCCTCATGTCCCAACCCTGCAGTAATGCCTGGCTCTGCCCACCCAACTCTCAACACCACATTATTCCTCACAAGCCCCCGTGGGAGGTCGGGGTCCTCACTTGCATCGTTCAGATGGAGAAACTGAGCCTCAAAGACTAGGCATACACGTATAAGCAAGCAAATAAGAAGTAGCAGAGACTTGCCCTGGCTGGCGTAGCTCAGTGGATTGAGTGCGGGCTGCCAACCAAAGCATCGCAGGTTTGATTCCCAGTCAGGGCACATGCCTGGGTTGCAGACCATGGCCCCCAGCAATCACACATTGATGATTCTCTCTCTCTCTCTCTCTCTCTCTCTTTATCCCTCCCTTCCCTCTCTAAAAATAAATAAATAAAATTTTAAAAAACAAAAAAAGAAGTAGCAGAGACTGAAATCCCTCTGGGTCAGACTGGCAAGCCAGTGCTCTGGCCCCTTCACCATCAGCTTGGGGAGCAGCACAGAGGCTGGGCTGAGCTGGCAATGGGCCGGCTGAGGCTCTGGGGCCTAGGCATCCTGTTTTCAGGATGAAACTCCACTCAGCACCTTTGAAAGGCAGTACCATGTTACCAAGTGGCCGGGAATAGGTGAGGGGCACAGTCTAGATTCTTGGGAACCTCCCATGTGAAGAGAGAAAAAAACACAACCCTGATCACATCCCATCGAACCCCTACTTCACCCCACGGCAGCAGAGGATGCTGGGGTGGAAGAGGTACCCAGAGAGAACGTCCTCTCTGCTTCTGATCTCATTCCCCTGCAGAGCGCAGGCCTGCCCTGCCTGAGTAACCCGAGACAAACACAGACACCTTGGAAGAACAGGTAGGGAACACCATTAATAACAGTGCTAGCTAGTATTTCAGGGCCCTATACTTCAGCTGCAATGCCATTTCATTTGTTTGTACTCGCTTTGTCTTTTTTCACATCTGTCAGCTACCCAGGATGAGACAGGCACTATGGGTAAAACAGCACAAAGAAAGGGGAGCGCTTCCTGGGCATTCACAATGTTTCTCCCGGGCACATGCTCCCTTGGCAGGCATTGGCTCGTCTTGCCCTCCTGCCAACCCCATAAGACTGATGCCACCATATCCCCATTTTACAGAGAAGGAAGCTGAGGCTCTGCAAGGTCAGATAAATTTCCCAAGGTCGCACCTCCAGCAAGGGGCAGAACCAGGATTCCAGCCCAGACATGGTGCTCTGGAGTCCAGCCCTTCCCCTGAACCCTCCTCCCCGTTTGGTCCTCATCAAGACGGGAAACAGAACCCTTAAAGAGACTTCATTTAACTACAGGACTCCAGTCCTAAAAGCAGAATAAAGAGGAGCATGCTGCAGGGAGGGGACCATTTCGGTTTCTCCCCTCCACTGTCCTGCTCACCCCCACCCAGAGAAGCTTAAGGCAGGATTGGAAGCTGCTGCCTTGGCCAATGAATCAGAAGTCCCTGAAGCATCTCGATGTTATAAATCTCTGAGAAAGTGGGACTCAGTTTCGTAAGGTGCAGCTTGGGTTCCAAGGAGGGGGATGTGTTCAAAAGCCCAGTGGCCAGCCATCCCCTTCCCCCCTGAAGGGCAAAGCCAGGGCATGGGAACGGGGAGATGGAGGAAGTCAGGTCCTCCCAGAAATGTCCCCGCTGTCCTGCCAGCCTGGCAGAGCGGGGCCCAGGGCTGGCCAAGCCTTCTTGGTATGCTAGATGCATATGCCCTGAAAACCAGAGGCCCTGGGGCCAGGTCTCATTGTTTCCAGGGGAGCTTTGGTCACTGCAAGGGACTCTTCAACACCCTCAACCTCCAAGCGAGACTGTGAGTCCCCGGTCCCCTCCCTGAGCGTCGAGCATCCTCTGGCAATGGCTTCCCTGCACCTCTGGTTAGTCAAAAGCCAGGCAGATCTGAGGCCCAGAATCTGTAACTTCTGTTGGAAGGCACAGAACTTGGTGAACTCCCACTCGCAGCAGGAAGCTCAGATTTCAGTGTCGGCCACACTGATATTAAGGCACAGAGCACCACACAGGGTGGGAGGACGGGGCACCTCTAAGTAGCAGAACTGTAATTCAGAGCTGAGAGCGCAAGCCATGGAACCATGTCCACCCAGATGTCACTTAGCAGGTGTGTGGGCCTGGGTGACTCAGTATCTCTGCGCCTCAGTTTCCCCACATGTAAAGTGGGTATATCATAGAATCGAAGGGCTTAAAGCATTTAGTCAATGCCGGGCATAGAACAGGGCGCAGCCTCATGCCTGGGACATGGGCTCTGACACCAGCCCCCTGGATGGCCAGATTTCTTAATCTCTCTTGGCCTCTGTTTTCTCCCCTGAAAAGTGGTGATAATTTTAACAAGGCTGTTGTGAGGACTAATGTGTTAATGGAGTCCAGCCTAGAGTAAGCATTCAATGAATGTAACCTATTGTTACCATCATTAAATGTATTATTTGCTCTTTTGTCTCGGGGAGATGCCCCAGAACAAATCACCACTGGCTCTGGCACACACTCTCTCTCACCATTGTGCCCAGATCCCTGGCCAAGCCCCCTGCCCACCGCCCCTTCTTCCCTGGCTCGTCTCCCAGGCCGCAAACTTTCTCATGCTGAGCTACCGCAGTGGTTTTCCTGCTGCCCTCTAGTGGCCATGTCCCATAGTGCAGCCTCTTAGCCCTGCGTCTTTGCTGTGTTCAGAATTCCTGGCTGATCGGCGGCTGCTTAGTGTGAAGATGCAGCCAGCGGGAGGTGATGTTGCAGGACGCAGTGAGGTGTGATGATTACACGCCCACCCTGGCTGTGGCTTCTGCTCTGTGCACCTCCTCTTCCTTATCCACACACCAAGAGGCAAGCAGCAACAGGCAGCCAAACCTCATCCCGAGGGCTTCTCCTCCCCGGTCTCATTCTGCTCTGGCAGGGGAAGGAACAGTGAGCTGAACGTCACAGGCAGCAGCAGCCCACAGCCTCTGCTTCTCCCTGGCTCAATGATCTTGCACTCACCCCGTGGGGTCTGTGTTTCAGTTTTTCCACAGATCCAGCAACCCTAAGGGCCTCCCAGGTCTGACCACAGGGGGTGTCTGAGCCCAGGAAGGCCCTATACTCCACTCTTAGAGTCAGGGCCACTCTTGCTGAAGGCAGGGACCCTTCTTTGGGAGTGGGAAGGCCCCAGTCATCTTCCAAGAAGACACCAGGGATGGGCGGAGCACTCCGCCTGCCACCTCAGCCTGATCCATGGCTGGCCCAGTCGAGCCCAAGAAACAAGGGGCTGTGCCCTCTGCTGAGTCAGCACCACCTGCCCTCACCCTCATGCCCCGCCCCCTCTGTGAAATCCCAGAAAACCCAGGGCTGTGACTCTGCCTTTTCTGGGCCACAGGCCCCTTGGAGAGACACAACCCCTCCTCTCAGAAAGATCCCTTTGTGCCCACAATTTTACACACACAACTGGAGAAGTTAAGCCTCTAGGGGAAAGAAGGGGCACCCATGGGTGGACTTTCAGAGGTCCAGGAACCTGCTCGTAGCACTCTCCCAATCCCAGGATTTTCTTTGCAGGTAACACTATCAGAGAAGGTTCCGCAGACATCACCCGTGATACATTAGTAACTAAAAAAAGCTAGGGCCAGAAAGCACGTGTTCAATAGTATACTGCCATTTCTGGTTTTTGAACAGGAATGTGTGTACGTATGGATATATATATATATATATATATATATATATATATATAGACAAACAACCACTGAAAGAACTTGTGCTGAACCAGTAATTGCAGGAGCCCCAGCAGGGGAGCTAGGAGATGGGGATTCAAGGAAGGCACAGTTTACACAGAGCTCTTCGGTTCAGTTTGAATTTATTAACTTTTGGGGACAGAGTGAAGCTACCCATGCAAGAACTGGAAGGTAACGACAGGGTGGGGCCCCCAAAATCAGCACTGGCACTTCCCTGTGCCAACTATTCTGCCCCCAGGCCACTGCCAGCCAGCTTTCTCCTCCCCCATTTCCAAGGCACCAGGGTCAAAGTCACTACCTTTCCGCCAGAATGGGGCTCTGCCTGCTCAGGCAGGCCCCTAAGGACAGCAGTCAGCTGGGGCTGCTGAAAAACAGTGAGACCTCAAAGGGGACCGGAGGCTGCGGGGGGCGGCAGAGGCCTGACCTGGGGAAATGCCTGCCCTCCCAGCTTTTTCTCCCCAAAAACAGTTTGGGAAGTTCTAGGGACCTAGGGAGAGCAAAGAAGAAGAAAAAAAAACCCCTGAATATCATATTTCTCACCAGACCCAGGAGCCAGTCTGGAGGGACCCCAAGGCTCTGGAGTCCCAGGACCTGGAGCAAGGGGCAGAGCAAACTGGACAGGGAGGGGGAGTTGGCAAACAGGCCTCTAGGACGGAGGCTGCAGAAAGGAAATGCTTAATCCCTACATCAGCAGTGGCCAGCACTAATCCACCGTAGATGTTTGTTTAGTTCGGGCTA